AAGTACATATGTGTGTGTATGCATGTGTGCGTGAGGTAGTATAAACAATTTAAGTTCAGAACTGTCGAGGGTAAAAAGTTTGAATTTCTACAGTTATAGTACTCGACAAAGTTTACTGCCATGTGTTGCTGATCGACTTTCAAGCACTTCTTGCAGTTTCATATTCAAAATTTGATGGATGAAGAAAAAGCAACTGTTATTTGAGTTTTTTTTTTTGATTTAGTTCATCGTACTGATACCATCTTAATGCTCCTATGATTCAAATGTAAACTTAGGTTGATCTGACAAAAAAACGTGAAATTTTTGCGCCTTTATCGTAATCAGGCGGCAGGGGCACCTGGACGTGGTCTGATTGAGTGGTAGCACTCGAGGACAAAATGATGACGCTCCACACACACTGCTGAATCTCCAAATGGCTTAAGCTTTGCTAAGGCACTTCTGTCAGAAGAGCCATTGGGTCGATAATCCCTTCAGGAGTCTCAAGGGGCTAACCACCAGTGGTACAGAGTGTTCGTCAAAATACCCGCGAAATGAATTGAAGAAAATGGCTGAGTTGTTGGCTGCACCACTGGAAAGTGTTGCGAATCGGGCTTATTGATGGCTCAGCAGTCATTTTAATTACTAACTTTTTTTTTATGATTTGCACCTGTGCATCAAGGAAATTCGTTAATGTTTTATTGAACAGAAGCTAAAGTTTACGACACTAAATCTATCCCTGGAAATACCAAATAAGCGATGAGTTACACAACATGAATAAGCAATAAACTATATCTATTCGAAAAAACACTACTTTTCGTTTCAAGTATCTCTATTATTCGTAGCAAAAATCAGGCGTTTTCTGCACGGACTGAGCTGGCTTCTTGCGTATTGCAGTGGTTGCTCTTGGTGAACCGAGACTGCTGCTTCCCCTGCTGTTTGGTGATCTGGGACTGCTGCTTCCCCCGCTGATGCTCAGTGAAGAGTCCGGCTGGAAACAGGTGATGAATGCATTCTTCATAGATTCGCACTCCGCATGGAGGTTCTCGAAGTGTTCAATGACTCTGCGCACATAACCCGTATTACTTTCACTGCTATATAGGTAGGCCTTGAAGAATCTTAGTGGTACCACACCGGATGCTTCGGATTGCTCTGCCATCTTCCTGACGAATCCTCCCCAGGTTTCAGTAGACAGTGGATGCACCCCCTTGCCTGATAATCTGAAATCTTGCTCGGATTCGATTTCAAGTTCACGCAACGTTTTGCCTGATTTAAAGGCTCGCCTGGATGCGCTACTGCCTGATTGAACCGTTTTACGGGATGATTGCGAGCGTTTCACTGATTCATCCTCGTCTAAATATGCGGCCCTTTCGGATGATCCGAGGGCTTGTGAAGATCTGATTCCACTGGCTTGCAGATCTCGCCTGTATCCAGCTCTGCCTGCGCCGACAGTCCTTCGGTGTGATTCCGAAATCCCCTCTGATTCAGACCCGCCTGAATGTACTGCCTCCGGGACATACGCGGTTTCGATTTCACTGGATTGTATCGCATTGAGGTCTCGCGTAAATCCACTTCTGCCCGAGTCGACAGTCTTCCGAAATGATTTCGAGTGTTCCGCAGATCCAATCCTGCTTGAGTGCGCAACCCTTTCGGATGATTCGCGGGTATGTGCGGATTCCACTTCACTGGACTGCCTCGTTCTGCCAGATATGAAACCTCGCGTGAATCCACTTTTGTCAGACTGCACAGTCTTGCGGGGTGATCTCGGGAGCTCCACAGTTCTGTCTGAATATGCTGCCTTTTCGGATGGTTGCACAAATTGCGCGGATTCGTCTTCGCTTGAATGCATTGTCTTGCCCGATCTGAAGTCTCGTGTGAATCCACTTTTGTCGGAGTCGACAGTCTTCTGAAGTGATTTCGAGTGTTCCGCAGTTCCAATCCTGCTTGAATGCGCAACCCTTTCGGATGATTCACGGGTATGTGTGGAATCCATTTCACTGGATTGCCTCGTTCTGCCGGATATAAAACCTCGCGTGAATCCACTTTTGTCTGGTTGGATCGTCTCGCGCGGTGATCCCCGAGCAGACTCAGTCCTCTCTGGATACGTGGTCTTTTCGGATGGTCCCAGAAATTGCGCGGATTCGATTTCACTGGAATGCACCGTTCTGCCAGATTTGAGTTCGCGAGTGAATCCACTTTTGCCTGAGTCAACAGTCTTCTGAAGTAATTTCGAGTACTCCACAGATCCAATCCTGCCCGAGTGCGCAGCCCTTTCGGATGATTCAAGGGAATGCGCGGACTCCATTTCACTGGACTGCCTCGTTCTGCCAGATATGAAACCTCGCGTGAATCCACTTTTGTCTGGTTGGACCGTCTCGCGCGGTGATCCCGGGACATATTCAGCCCTGTCTGGATACGTGGTTTTTTCGGTTGGTTCCAGAAATTGCGCGGATTTGATTTCACTGGAAAGCATCGTTCTGCCAGATTTGAACTCTCGCGTGAATCCACTTTTACTTGAGTCGACAGTCTTCCGGAGTGATTTCGTAAGTCCCACAGTTTCAATCCCGCCTAGTTGCGCAGCTTTGCCAGACGGTTCGTAGATTTGCGAGGATTCAGTTTCACTGGATTGCGGCAACCTCCCAGGTTTAACTTCTCGCGTGAATCCAGCTCTGTCTGCGTCGGCAGTTCTCCAGCGTGATCTGGGGAGTTCCACCGATTCAGTGCTGCCTGAAGGAGTGCTCTTCTTTGATGGTTCCGGGGTTTGCCCTAATTCGATTTCACTGGGCTGCAGTGTTTTGCCACGTTTGAAATCTCGCGTGAGTCCAGCTCTGCCTGTGTCGACAGTCTTCTGATGTGATTTCGAAATTCCCACAGATTCGGTCCTACTTGAATGCGAAGCCTTTTTGAATGAGTCAAGAATTTTTGCGAATTCGAATTCATCGGGTTCGGTCGTTTCATCAGAACTGCGGTCTTGGGTAAGATCACTTTTGTCTGACTGGTCCGTCTTGCGGGGTTTCCCTGGTAGCTCCGCAGATTCAGTTCTGCTTGGATGCTTCCTCACTTTGGATGGCTGCGGGATTTGTGCCGATTCGAGCTCACTTGACTGCATCGTTTTGCTAGATTTGAGGTCTCGCGTGAATCCACTACTGTCTGTGTCGACGGTTCTCCAGCGTGATTGCGGACGTTCCGTAGATTCAGTTCTACCTGGATGCTCCGCCTTTCCAGATTGTTCCGGGATTTGCAGGGATTCAGTTTCACTAGACTGCGACGTTTTGCCAGTTTTGAGATCTCGTGTGAATCCAGTTCTGCCTGTGTCGACGGCCTTCCAGCGTGATCTGGGGGATTCCACAGATTCAGTCTTACTTGAAGGAGTGGTCTTTTCGAGTGGTTCCGGGATTTGCGCCGATTCGATTTCACTAGACTGCAACGTTTTGCCAGGTTTGAAATCTCGTGTGAATTCAGCTCTGCCTGTGCCGACAGTCTTCCGGTGTGACTTCGAAATTTCCATAGATTCAGTTCTGCTTGAATGCGCAGCCTTTTTGAATGATCCAAGGATTTTTGCGAATTC